ACCATTGCAGAAGTGTAATTAACAAATTAAAAGGGAGGATTGTGATTCAGTTTAATTTGGGGAAAATCTTTAAATTAAAAAAAAAAAAAGTCTGATGTTTGAGGATCATTCCCCTCTGCTATTCATTTTAATGCCTTGGACGTGCTCTGAGAGAAATGCTTTCATCAAAATAAACATGTCCTGAGTGTGCTGCAGTACTGGCATATATGGGTACTTAAAGAAGCATCAATGAGACACAAAAAAAAAAAAAGAAACAAATCCTGACAGATACTAAACAAGATACTAGATTACAAATGAAGGTGTACCATCATGGAGAGAGAAAGGGGGAAAATGCCCATTGGAAGTTGCTCAGATTGATCCGAGACTGCCAGCTTAGTCACAAAAACTTAGGAAAAGCAAAACAGAACACGCGCACCATTAGTCCAGGTGAAATCCAATGCCACAAATAACTGTGGAAGGAGGGAAGGCAGAAAATCTCCCATACCTGCTGCCCTTCCAGATGTTTGTATGGTAAAATAAACCAGCTCTACTGAGTAAATCAATGTTTGCAAGAGCAGTCAAAATGCCCGAGCCAAAGTTTGCCTGCTTTTCTCTCCAAAACCCCCTGAGCACACCTGGAAGAATGGCTGCAAAATGACATCTACTTCCCCTCCCATCCCCTACGAAAAACACCTTTCAGGTGATCTAATATTATGAGAAGCCATAATCATTAAGGATTGATCATGCTAATATAATTTTCTGGATGGCTTATTAACCTACTAAGACATGTTTTTCTCTACTTCCCTTCATTAGCGACAGCAATAATTAGGTAAGGACAGAGTAGCAAAATTGATCATATGGTACTGCCGAAGGGGACAGAGAATGTATCATGAACATTTAGCATAATGTTCTCCAAACTCAAGATGCATTAATTGTATTTAGTAACACAGCTATTTTCTGCCTTTGATAGAAGGAATCTGTTAACGTAGCTATTGTTTAACAGAAGCTTATTTTTCTTCTATTCCAAAATGGAATTTTCTTTTTTCTTTAAAGTTCACAATACAAAATGAGATGAGACGAGAAAACATCACTGTCTCAAGTACCTACTGATATCACGTCCTTTTCTTATTTCAGTCCTGACTACCAGTCTCCTCATGAAAGCAGCGCTTTAAAAGTAGACTGGCCGCAGAGCTCTGGCTAGAAAGCAAAGAAGTGAGTTATACTGTCACCTCCCGGACAATAATCCCCAGAGACACTTCCCTCATTTTTTTGGGTCAGCTTCAGACACAGCCTTCCTGCTGCCCGCCACCCCTGGTCACCAGAAAAAAGCATCTGTAGCTTACACTTAGGCAGCACTACTCAGAATATCTGTATACTTACATGTGAAAGTTTTATAAATTTACAGAGGTGACTGAACAGCAGCTGCACTCTGAGCCCACGTGAAGGTCCCCTTTCCCTGTCTGTAACATCAACAGCAGAAGCACCAGCAACGTGTGGGCTGGGGGATGAAGGAGCAGCCGTACGAAGTGTCGGTGCCCGCATGCTGCCCCTCACCTTCCTGACCTGTGACCCCAGTGCCAGGGCCCCAAAACCCGCAGCAGCCACCCTGAACCTTGAAAGAGAAACTCCCAGTTAAGCAAGACCCTGGTCACATCTGTGATGTGTGGAGACAGGGACAGGTGTCAAACTGCGATGGGGACTGCCGGCTCGAGCTGGCAGCATTAACTCTCCTGCACCACCCTGCTAGCGCGGGAAGCGCGTGTAAGCGTGACAGCCACAAAGGGATCGCAGCGATGATGAATTTTTACATATTTTTTAAAATGCCAGTGACTGGCTTTCCCTGAGCTCCCCCCCACACGTGAGCAGTAGGCAGCTTTCTGTAGATAAAAGCATTACAGGGAGCTGAAAAGAGTTGACATTACAAACTTGGCACTCCAACGGCATGCTGCACAAACAGGGAAAGGGAGGATCTGCCAAAGCGAGAGCCAGAGATAATATGAAAAGCATAAACCCAACATATTGACCTTATTTAAGTCCAAACAGTGTAACACCAGGATACTTAATGCAAAAATGTCAAAAACATTCTTTATTCCACACACACATGAATGTTTTCTTTAAATATGCAATTCACTTGATATCTGCAATCCCCCCTCTTCAGATGCAAAATCCAAAATAATGATTATATCAGTCATTGCTTAATACATTCAACTGTGGCCCTGATTTTCATGCATGAATGGTCATTTACATATCATTACCCATCATGCCATCCACTCAGATTTTTCTTCCTAAATAGAGTAATACATTTAAAGTTGTCATTTTAAAACAAAAATGCTTAAAAAGGGGACTTTCATTTCTCGTTATCTTATCTGTGCTCTTAGTGGCTAATAGACCAGAATATTAAAATGGAAAATTCTCAGTGTGTGACAACTGCCACAGTGAGAAGACCTTAAGAAAAGAGGCAATTACCAAGGGATTTTTCTCCACTTTGGAGATGCAGATAAATACGAACAGAAAAGCCGAAGCAAACCAACCAGAAGCAAAACAGCAATTATAGTACATTCTTCTATTTTCCTAACATGAGTCCTTGTTGGGGGCAAAGCTAGTTCCATGTTAGGAAAATCACTGCAGACATGAGATGCAGTTAGAAGCTTTGCATGAATAAATTACAGTTTTGCAATTAATATTGCCCATACCCACAACAAAGGAAGGATTGGTTTTTTCCTCCTCCTGCTACTTTTAAAGTAATTTTCTGCTATGTTTAATTAGGAAATTTCTCTACAGAAGGGAATGTGATAGAAGATTAATTCTCTATTTTCTCACCCACTGTGTCAGTAGACTCAAGTGGACACTATAAACCCCAGTTAAATACGATGAGGATGATCAAGCACGGAGCTCCTTTCAAGAGGTCGTGTCCACAGACTGTAGATCTCATTTCAAAACAATAGAAATGAATTAGAAAATGGTATCTCTCTGTGGTGTAGCGCCACAGAGGAACGATTACAAGTGCTTCATGGTGCGAGGGTTCACCATGCTGGCTGAGAGGGTTTGCTATCATGGCTGATGATACCAAATGTCGCTGAGTGAGAAACAGCGTTTCCACAACGACTGATGTTTTGGGTCTTTTTCTCCTGTTCTACACTAATAATTATTCCTCTAGTAGTCACATCTCATTTTACATCTTTTATGCCAAATATGAAACAGCAATTAAACAATAAATAATGAAATGTTCGCTGGTGGGCAAGATTGTAAAGAGGTTTTTTTTTTAAGGGAATAGACAAAGGGCTCAAACTGTTTTTGTTTTTAATGAATAATTAAGGGAACGAGGATTTACCCTCAGGATGTCAAAATCCTATGAATGGTCTATTGCTGCCAGTGCTGAGTAAATATCAGGTTAATGCTTTTTTAAACTGAAATCCAAGCCAGAGTAAGAACAATCACTTAGGGGAAACTCAGACTTACAAGATACTGGAACATGCACGACACTATCCTTTGACAGAGAGGGTAAGCAATTTTCTCAGAAGTTTTATTAATGGAGTGCCTGAACATCAAAACAGAAAAAGCATGAATGATTTCGAGGAGGAAACACAGACGTGTAGCCTAGTAGAGACTGAGAGCCTCGCTCATTGATTAACTAGGACCAGAGTGTTTTAATACAATAGAAGTTGTCAGTACATACCTCCTGGGGACAGGAAAGATCAAAACAGGACAACTGGCAGAAAAAAATGTGTAAAATGCAGAAGAAACTTCACGCCCAATTTTATTCTGGGCTTAAAAAAATAAATCAACATTTTGGCTAGTCCGATGCCTATTTATTCCCTCCCCATTTTGACATAAGATAGTCTTATCCCACTCTGATGCTGCTCTGGTTTCACGTAGAGAAATGCTCCAGCAGAGCATTTAAGAAGGGGCAGCCACCTTTGCAGAGTCCAAGAGAGAGCTGCAAGGATGACATGATTCAGAAAACACAGCTTACGTGGTGAGCTTAGGGGAATGGAAATTTTTTACTTTGGAAAAGAGAAGACTGAAAAGAGACTAGTTGTCTGAGATAAAAAGGAACATTAAAAAGGCTGCTATAAAAAGAAGGATAATCAATTGTTCTCCACATCCACTATTTCTGAGACAAGAAATAATTGATATAATTTACAGCAAAGGAGATTTAAGTTGGATATTAGGAATTTTTTTCCTCCCAGCTTCTAAGAATTACCATGCACTGGAACAGGCTGCACCAGAATGAAGCTGGTGTGCTCAGAAGTGGCTTCTGAGACTGGGCCATGCAAATCTTAGCAACAGACAGCCTAACTATAGTTGTTCCCGTCAGACTTGAGGATGGATGAGATGATTAGTTGAAGTTACTTCCAAACATATATATCTATGACTATATCATCCCTTTTCTGTAGGTTAGGCAATGGCTGGCCTCCACACGATGCACAACCCAGTCTTTACTTGTACAAACTCCCATTGAAATCATGGGGCATTTTTTTGGTAATGTAATTAAAATGTCTTCATGTCAGCTGGGTACGTGATGTCTGCCCACATATGGGGCCACTATATATTTCTGCATAATCTCTAAAAGTTCCCGACTTCTGCAAATTCAGAGGATTTGGTTACACCTAGGACCTCGTGGACAAGACTTCAGCTCTTCTGATCCTGAAGAGGCAGGGGAGCCAATTGCATCTTCTTCCTCCCTCAGTAGAGAAGTTTATTTTTTTAGACACATTAGTTTGAAAATATTTGTTCCAGTTGACCAAGTTTTTGTCCCATTACATTAAAATACCTTTTAGAGAAAAGGCATAGATCTCTTTAAAGGGAAAATATTTTCAAAAATTTTGTTAAATGGGTTGCAAAATCTATGTTAATACAGAAATACAGGTAATGCACTGCATTTCCCAGAGTATTCAGCAATGAGTTTCCAGTGTTTTCACTCAGCTCATCGCTACCTCGGTAAAACCCGGGGGGCTGCTCCTGTGCAGGGCGGGGGTCCTGCCCAGCAGCCTGCCACCCTCACGCCAAACTGATGCTACCCGTCATGGACCCTGCGGCGGCTGTGCCCCTGATGCGAAGGGCAGAAGGTGGCAGAGGGAATGAAGCCTCTCATGCCAGCTCCAAATCTGCAGTCGGCAAAGCTGGGCATCTCGGGGAGCCCTACTTTCAACCAGAGCAGACTATGACCCTTGGAATGTGTGTCAGGAGCCTCAGCGGCCTGTGCAACAGCCGAAAGTCACACAGCGCAGAGGGCTTGCAGCCACCTTTGTTCTGCTCCCCTGGAGCTCTGCTTTCTGTGCCGCATCTGCCGGAGGCACAGCACAAAATCTGTCCCCTCTGTTCCTGTTTCCAAGGAGTGAGCAGCCCTTTACAGCAAAGTCAGTCTTCAGAGCTTCCTCAGCCTCTGGTGTTTGCGGCTAGCGCCCACGCCACGTAGCTGCCTAGGTGCACACGGGGTGCGCTTCTTCCCCCTCCTTTTTCCTTTGTGAGCAGTCAGGCCTGGGGCAGAATTACAGTTTATTCGCACAGTGATAACATAGCCTTTCAGAAAGGAAATATAAAATGATGAATCAAAGGTCCAGACATATCCATCTGTCACATCCAATAAGCATGCCTGTGCCATGTGAACGCCTGGTCATTCTTGTAATTAGTTGTTAAAGCTGAATGGGCAATTTTCAGCCAGAAGTACATGAAATGCATGAACGTTTTAATGATGCGGAGAACAATTAATAATATTACATGCATAGTTCCTGATCACCTTGAGATTTTCTCTCTACTTAGTGTTGGAGGAACTCAACCTCTTTAACCCTATTAGAGCAAGAGGGCACAGCTCGAGTTAGGAAACGGTAAGCTGAATAAATTGCAGCAAGGCAGGCTCTTTTTAAGATGCAACTTTTCCTTCCAAAAACTCTTAGATAATGATGGAAAAAATGTCTGCAGTGAATTCTGATGAAAAAAAAGAAGGAAAGGCCATAATAATAAGTGTGTCCCATGTGACAGCTGGGAAAAATGAAGGGTCTGATTCAGGTCCTGTTCAAATCAACAGGACTTTCTCCATTACCTCTGCTAACCACCACATTAAACCCTTTATGTTTGGTTGAGTAGATACAGCACAGAGGCAAGAAGCAAGAAAGCCTAGTCCCTGAGATGGCAGCTAAACATCATGTAAGCCACCTGAACTCACCCTGATGCAGTAAATCTGCATGTATAAATACATATAGAACACATAGAGATGATATGGATGCTATTTCAGTAGAGAGCAAACCCCTTGGGTCTTCCCCCCAAACATGGGAAGAAGGGATCTGGACAAAAAAAAAAATAAAAAAAAATCACCCAGAAGGCAGCCAGACCCTCTAAGTGTGACCAAGCAATGTAAATGTCGCTAAGCAGTGCAACCCCATGTCTACATACACACAGACAGAAAAAAAAGAGGATGTGGCCCAGTGTGGTGGCAAAAACTCTTAACATTATGACAAATTAAGTATTTGCAACAGAAGATGCAATGTTGTTCTTGCTCAAAACACTATGTAAACTTGGCTTCAGGAAAACCCCTGGGATAAATTCCATCTGGCACGTGCCAGACTAAAATGCAAGAAACGCTATGGCCTCAAACATACCGCACGGTAAGGGAGGAGGAAATGCCTCCCAGCTCAGGGAGGGGAGGTCAGCTTTCAGCTCCTTCTCAGCTGGCTGCCCACTTGACTTCAGCAGAGCACAGCTGCCTCCTAACAGGTTGGGACCAAGCCCTGGATGTTCACCATGAAAACTTCTTAGGAAAAGTTAATTAGCCTATGGTAGATGTGGGTATGTTTCTTTGCAAAAGCCTGTTCAGAGTGGAAGAAGTATAAACATCACCTAACCTAACCACTGCTTTCATGCACCTTATTTTAACACTGACTTTCTATAAACTATCCCCATAGTATTTCGCTTTAATTACATGCAGTAAAAGGAACAACCAGGTAATTACCTCAGACTCTGCAATAATATTTCCACATTAAAATGTAAATGCAAGGTGCATAGCTCGTGTCCATGTTTTAACCATAGGAAGAACAGAAGACTACTCATTTGAGGGGAAAACCACACATTAGAAAGCTCTCTGCCAGCTACCAGCGGTCCAGGGCTGTCCCAATTTAGGTTGGGCGCCTGCCTCTGCTTATCACCCTGTTGATAGCACGGCATGGTTTTAAAAACATCCATGTGTGTCTCCAAGGGGCGTTTATCCTCCGTGGGAGCCTAGCACCCCAGAAGCATGGACAGGCAAGGTTAGAAGAGACCATTTACACAGGGAGAGAGGTACTGGAGAAACTGGCTTTCTGATCCCCGTCCCCAGGCACACCAAGGGCTGAGATTAACAGGGGCTGCCAACCCTTCGCGCCGCTCTCAAGGCAGCAATTGCAAACGTTGCGGGAGAAGGTGGCATTGGATTAGCTGTATTTCACCTCCAGAGGGTTGTCTTCCATGTCAAAGGATTTTCTGTCTTTCATGAGCTTTTGTGCTTCATTTAAGCCCTAAATAAAGCACAAATAGCCCACGGGAGTAAACTTTACTCTCCACCTGTCAGAACAATTTCCTACCTGAATTAACTTGTGAATACACTTTAAAAAAAACAGACGCATCTTCTCTATAGCCTGATTATTCGCCTGCTTTATTTTCCAAACTTCTTTTTATGCCACTTTTCTATTTTGGGTGCAAGTGGAATCATGTTAATGGACTGACGAGGTGAAGAGCAAACACAGGCTTGGAGTTTGTGTGGCCTATGTGATCTGGTTTATACAGCCCTCCCAGGCATGACTCTTCACTTAACAGTACTTACATGGGCTCTGTGCCTGCCTAATTTCTTAGCACCTGCATGCTCTGCAGACATACTTGCAATGAGTTCTTGACACGGGAGATGTGAATCCTCTCACCATTTTGCATCAGGAAGGGCTACACAAGCCCCCCCATCCTTGCCTGGCCGAGTAGGAGGAACAACTTTTGGGATACCCCATCACAAACCTCAGAAAGACAAACTTCAAAGAGCAAAAATGAAAGAAAAAAGAAAAATAAGAAAAAATGTTGGCTAAATATCACTACTCGAGATGCAGATAGTAAAAAATGACAAGGGGGATAACACTGAACAGACATAGTTCATTCAGGCTTTGTTCTGAGAGACAGGGACCGTGTCAGCCCCTTTCTGAGGGGTGGGCCCGTCCCTGCCCGTGCCCCCGGCAGCCCTGCCAAGCTGCGGCCCTCCAGACAGAGGTGATTAATCAAACCCACCCGAATCTCTGACCCACTATCTGATAAGGCTTCTTTCAGCTTAACAAAACTTGGCATCTGTGTCACATCCCTCATTCTGGGATTTCAAATAAAAAGCTCTCTGTCTGGCTCCTCCTGCCTCCACTGCCTGCAGTGCCATAGGAAGGCGGCAGCAAGCCCCCACCGCTGCCTGCCATCGGCCCAGGCCGTGCTCTCGGCTCCAGGTACCAGTTTTGATTTATGCTTTCAAGTTTCTTTTTAGTCTGAACGCCTGTGGGGGACCAGTTCAATGAGGATGGCACAGGTTTTTGCATTGCTGCCTGAGATCTGGACAGGTCACAAAATCCTGGCCACCTAAACCAGAGCTGACAGCCCGTTTCTAAAATAACCATGGGTGTATGAAGTTTGCAGATGGCCTTGCTTTTTGGCAGAGCAGAACTCTTCTCTACCCTACAACGTTTTGGTGAGAACATCAATAGCATGTCACAGACAGCTGCCGAAGTTGGGAGAGGTCTGGTGGGCAGCAGGAGGCCATCTGAGAGGATCCCAGCTGCACCACACAACCAATATCTACCAGATGCTCCACCTAGTTCCATCTTACTGCTTTATTAATGAAAACAGAAATTGTCTCTTCCAGTCTTACTACCACAGGTGGTTTAATCAAAGAGCTAACGAAGCAAGCAGGGAAAACACAGCCACGTGTTGTGCTAGTTCCAAGAAAGATGCTTTAGAGGAACAGAAACCTCCAGGGCTCCGACAGTTGGTGGCTGAGCTGGCTGTAAAATGGGTGACCCAACTCTGCCAGCACGATGGGCCATTTCCAGGAGCTAAGCCCACAAGGAGCTCCAAGTCCCCACCAGCCTATCTAAAACCCTGTAGCAGAGCATGACACGTGGTTCTCTCTTCTCTCAAACAACCCAGTATTTATCACTCTTAAATCAGCCACAGCCTATTTTCATCACATCCCACCTTCTTGCCTGGATCTGGATCCACCTTCTTCACTGTTTCTCATCTCAGGGTCCATGTTGACAAAGGCACAACATCTATCCCTGTAGGATCTGGGTCTGTGCAGGGGATGGTTCTTCTCAAAGAACTCCTCCCAACTTGCAAATTCCCACGGTGGTATTTCTTTCTTAGTTCATATTTCTAAAACAGGATTATTTTTTGGGGAGTGGCTCCCTAACATCTGAGCAGCTTCATGGTCTTACACTGTGCCCATCGGCTTTATTAATGCTGCTGTTTTCCTAACAATGTTTCTGTGCTAAAATGAAATTCACACACTTTGCATGCCCTGAACAGTAAAAGACTTTTCAGGGAATAAAATATAATTGCTCAGTGCATCAAGCATGATTGATCCCTCTGCATTTCCTGGTAATTACCCTCAAGAACAGTGTGCATTAGATACTCTCTGCTATTGGTAGTGTCCAGGGTCCTGTGGTCAGGTTTACTATGATACCCTCTGCAGCATATGACCTATAAGACATATATGCACACCCTACTTAAGTGGATTCTTTTTTGCTCTTGGATTTGCATCTAATTAAAGGAAAAACATCCATAAAGCTATTCTACCACACTAGTATTATTAAGAACAAGTAAAAAAAAAATTAAAAAATCAGCATTATGTTTCCTATCGGCTTCTACATTTTTTTTCTTACTCATTTTATTCTTGCCCTTCACAAAATATATTTACAAACAAAACTCTGTATTTAGACTTGATAGAACCTCTACAGAGCATATATTTTCCCTCTGGAAGCACAGGCTTTTTTAATGTTTACTTTTTCTTTGCAATGTAAATAGATTAACAGAAT